AAGCGCATACTTCATCCTGGAACACACTTTCAACAACTGTTTAATGAATCCTTGATTGAACATACTATTTGGTATGACTCAAAATCTTCTTTTCTTGAGGGTGTTTCCATGAATACACTCTCAATTACATAAATGTTTCACTAGGTATTTATGACAGACTTCCCTCATTCAGAAGTAATTCCTCTTCCGTGAATAAGAACTTCAAAAAAAAAAAATCTTTTTTTTATTGCCATTTCTTCCCTTTTGAATTAATAGAAGCTTGAGACTTCTGTATTCACAAAAGAATTACGTACTTTCTGCTACACTGCAGTTGCATAAAAACACATGAATCCTAAAAAAAAAAAAAAAAAAAAAAAAAAAAAACAAAAAAAAAAAAAAAAAAAAAAAAAAACCAGCCCCAAACCAAACAACAATCAAAATAGAGAGTCAGACTCAGGACTGTGGTCTGTCTAATGTAACCTCTGGCCCTAACAGTGACTAGTACCACAGAGAAGAAAAGTATACTGTAAGGCACAAGTACAGCATAACCTGGCCATAGGACATTTGGATTTTTCCTATAACTATGCCTTAAAACACTGTGGCAGAAGAGGGCATTTATCCTAACTTCTGTTAATGGGTATGTTCTAATTAGCCATGTAAATGTTGGGTTTTCTTTGCGAATGTATGCATTTAGAACAACATATCTAATTTGCCACAAGTTCCCAAAGTTAATTATGTATTATTTAAAAAAAAAAGCAAAAAACAAACACACACAAAAAACCCAACAACCACCCTTTTAAAATCAGTTATCTCCATTTATTGCCTTTCAATGCAGTTTTTTGTTCTTGCTGTAAGTTAAAGTGCATGATTTACTTATATACACACCCCCACTGACTGCTCACCCTCTAACCTAACTAGCCTGGTTTCACTTTTTTCAGTCACTTGACACAAGGAATTCCCTCCAATGCTACAAAGCACTTCTGCCCATCCTGCAGTCCTTCTCTGTTTTTACTGTATTTTCTTAAGAGTGATGCAGAACAAAATGAAGAATTCCTGTTATAAAGCAATATAATACAAACAAGCAGTAAGTACTAACCAGAAAATAATGCTACTGTTTTATAAAATTATTTTTGTTAATTTTGTCCTTTTTTCGTGTGTTTTTTTTTTTTCTAAAGAGACAGACAAAAGCCTAACTTGCCTGCTTTTCTAATGCAGCAAATGTAGTTAATTTAATATTCAGCAACATGCAATTAGGTCAAATTATGTATTCAGAAGATTTTACTTGGATTTGTTGGCTGCAGAATTTCATCTGCCGTCACCGTGTCTATTCCCAAAGGTTTGCTAGATAACCCCTGAAGTTCCTCAGCCTTCCTCCAATTCATTTTCTATCACCCTAAAATTCTACCATCCTTTTATTCATCTTTTGAGTCACTACACAACAACAGCATTAATAACATTCAGCCTACTACTCATTTTACTACACCTTCTTGTTAATCTATTATGATGCACAAGTTGCCAAGTATCCAAGCAGTTCTGAGCACTGCACACACCCTAGGAGACAGTACAACCCTAAGTTATAGTACACTGCATCTCCTGCAGAAGGAACAGTTCCAGTAAATCTCCCTCATGCTTCTCCATTAGATATTCTGAAATGTTTCTTACAGGACAGCACTTTTTGAAAGTCTAGGAAAAAAAATTACACCCAATCCACCCCAAATAATAGTCTGGGTTACCTTTAGTTATATCTGAACCTTCTTCACCAGACCTAGTTGTAGAAACGCTCATAATAAGACACAGTCTATTATAGTCTCTCATCTTGCATACCTTTCTTTACCCTTCTTTCCAGGAGAAATCTACTCTGAACAAGAAGAGGGTCCCAGACATCCTGTGATCCAACAAACCCTTCCAATAGGCAGCAATATAACCAAGAAAAGGAGAGGTTATGCTTTGATGTGAAACATCAAGTTCTTACAATATTTCACTAAGCCTGTCTGGGATGTTGTTACCACCACCAACTGATACAGTTTCTTTCTTCTCAGTCCTTAGCTGGGCAATCCAAAATCAGGCCAACAAGGCAGCTTGAAATACTATACATAGAGTGAAGTTCACTCCCATTGTTGAAAAAGCATGTGTCTCAAGTGACATTCTTCTAACCCCAAAAACCTGCAAACAGCAATTCCTCATATAGCTCACATGCATTCCACACAAAGCCTGTGTCCATTTAAATGTCAGTTCAGAAATGCACCTGAGATATTTTAAGAAGCACTTCCATTTCCGGGATTGCAGAAAGTTCTTTGCTACACTAGGTTGTAGTCAGCCTACAGTCAGAAATTGCTCCAGTGGGTCAGACAAAATTTTAGAGAAACAAGTGCTACATTTAGACTCCATTCTCACCGCTTTTGCCTCTTTTTGAGAGAGGAATTTCTTCCATGTTTTTACAAACAGTTTGTCCTTGCTTATTTCAGCTACTGTATCTCCATCTAATATCATCAGACTCAATGATTCTGAAACACTCCTACAGGAATCTTTTTTCCTTAAAGAATAGTATCAAACTGTCATTTTTATCTTAAGAAGCAGTCTGCTAAGCCAAAAATAGCATTGATCGCCATAGCTATAAGCACAGCATCTGAATACATCCAAGGAGGCAATACATTTCACCTTTCTAGTACTTATTATCAGCAAAAGCTTTAAAGAATCACAACAAGCGTAGGTAACAAACCAGAAACATTACTGCAATCGGGAAACAAAGCCATACAGTAACTTAAGATGCAGACCATGCAATCATAAAATGCTTAAGAGAAACAATTCTGAATTGAATACTATAAGAAGAAGGATGCTACTTTATTTTGTTTGTAGAGTGGATCAATATAATAAACACTGGATGTAAGAGTCAGATTGGCTGCAGGTATGTAGCTTCCTTTCTTCCTTGAGCTACCACCTTGCAGTGATAGATTGGTCCTTCAGATTTCATTTAATGAATTGCCAACTCTGCTAATTTCAGTCCATGGTTTTTGTTGTGCTGCTACACCTTAACACTCACATACTTAAAGATTAAGTTTCTCAGCCCTGTGACTGCAAAGTAAAAATCTTAAAATGCATGATCCTTGTGAACTAATAAAAATCAGAAAACAAATAAGCAAATAAATCCAGCCTTTGAAGTTTAACTTAAAAGTGCTGGAGACTAAAAAAACCTGTAATTTTAATTCTCTGGGGAGTAAAAAAAAGATGAATAACAGATAATTGAGAATTAGGAAATCTTTGCGCATTTAACTCTTGAACATCATTGTTGGAATTTCTGCAGAATAATAATGGTTCCTTTTTCCTGTTATCTGTTAAATATGTGAATTATCTACATACACATGAATCTTCTAAAAGATGGACCTTAACCAAGAGTCTCCCTAAGTCTTCTTAATAACACTAAGTAACAAATCGCTCACCAGGATGTGGATCAGGCTTTCCGGCTGCCCTCCCAGGAGGCCGTCCTATCACAGGTTTGAAGTTGTTCAGGACAGAGATATTGATTCTTTACAGTTTGTTTTCTGAGGACCTACTGTAATACAGGTTTAATCAGATGGAGACAAGCAAACAGTTCACTTTTCTTCATCACTAATACAGGTAAAAAACCTTATCCACAAGTCCTCTGAAGAGTGTATGATGTAGTATTGAACACACCATTTCATTCTTCATTACTCAAAGGCATTTCAGCATGAAACTGTTCCTCAACTAAACCTGGAAAAGCCTCAGCTAAATGTGCATTCAATCCTACTGACATCAGGTGAGGTTTTGGTCTAATCACCAAACACACATTAAATTTTCCCACTGAATATATGCTTTCTGAATGGGGCCTCCGTCAGTTTGTACATCGAGGTGCTGAAAAGAGAAGGGCATCTATGCTACACGAATGATGAGATAATGAAGATGCTGAAACGTTACAAAAATAACATAAGTAAAGTTTATGTCCTGAAGCAGGCAATGGTCAGTGTACTAGAACAGGTTCTCCTACACAATTCTTGGGACTCCTCCACATAAAACCTTATTCTGTAAGATCAAGGTCTCCACTTGGTAGAAGTCTCATTCCTGTGCAAGTGACATCAATGACAGAATAAAGAACTGGCAATAAATCTAATAGATTAAATTGATCAAATTTTCAACCAGGCCACAGTTTCCCAGAGAACAAAAATGGCAACTTATTAGCATGGATTTTCTATCTTACAGTTTAAAAAACCACAAACACTCCCACCACTCCCAATTGTCAGTTTTTAGCTAAACCCTAATGTTATAGGTGAACTCCCTATCACAATGAAATATCCTGGCAACATCATGCAAGCTTCTTGAATGGAAAAAAACAAACAAACAAACAAACAAACAAACAAAAACCAACCAAAAAACCAACAACAGAAAAAGAGGATGTAGTGTTTCCAAGCAAGTTTTCCATCAAACAAAGGAAAAAGCTGATTCCACCTGCGTGGAGTCAGCTACATTAATTCAATCTAAGAAAATTGCTAAAAACTAACAGCCCATAGCCCTACATATGGACTGGTCAAGGCAATACGCTGGTCAAGGCAATTTTCACACCGTAGGACACTGACTTTGGCCTGATCAAAAGGAAATGCTGTTTTCTGGACACAACATTCAGGACTGTTGCTTCTCTCTGAGCTCAACCTTTATTTCATCAACATTTTATCAAATCAGTGCTGGTTGCAATACATCAAATGCTTAGAATTTCAATTAAATTGTCATTACAAAGGCTTTCAGGGTTCTGCAAATTTTCTCTGGTTTATTCTACTTGTGGTTTAGTCTCCATGTCTTTCCATAAGGTTTTGCCAACTCTCCTGGGTAGCTCCCAGAAAGTCTCAGCTCTCTTGGCACCTCTTTGCCTAGAGCAAGACTGGGTTAGCAGGAGTCTGTTACACATTCCCTGCTCTCCTCATTTCCCAGTGGTGAATGCAGCAAGCTCTATGCTTGCAATTTGATCCTGGGTACCATCCAGGTTATCTGGTATTTGTGAGTATCATCCAGGGGGTGGCTTCATATTTTGTAGCAAGTTGAAATGATCAACAGCCAGTTAGCAGCTATGGGTTGATAATAAAAGTATATACATACACACATATATATTTAAACCACCTCTAAAGAGATTCTGTGTTAGCCATGGATTAGTTAACAGTTATACAAACAACCTATGTTTGCATAGGTTGTTTATATAACATCCAAATACATCCAAAATACACTTAAAGACACACAAACACAACATACAATATAATTAACAGTATTCTCTTACTACATGTAATCACACATATGGCCTAAAGAAGCCAACAGATACAAAAGTCACATGCTAGGTATTTGATCCTTTAAAAATTGCATCTTGATGGTGTCTTCAGTGTCTATGCAACCTTATGATATTCTTCTTCTCAAAAAAGCCCTTCTCTTCCTTTAACACAGTATTACAATTTATCCGATTTCAGTACCTGGTAAGAGAACTGACTTTGCAGGAGTACCTTTTCGATAGCTCATCTCTGTACAGAACTCACGTACTGTTCTGCAAAGAAATAGACTCAGACGATGCTGTACAGTTTTTCTGAAGCTACCATTTTAGAAAAACTATGAACAACTAAGAAAAACATGCCTGCATAATTTTTAACAAAACAATATGGAACCTGATCCGATGCATTAACGGTCCATGATGTTATTGAACAAGACTACAAGAGAGACACTTTACTTGCACTTGCTTGTCAGACAATTACTTTCTGCTACTGTAATACTTCACTTGCATACTTCCAAGGAAGACTCATGAACGCACAGGTTCATTAAGGGAATGAGAGAATCGATTGTAAAATGGAAAAGGCCGAGTGAGGTCATATTTCAAAGAGATGAATATGGTACACTCCATTATGTTGTAATCAGCCTCTCTCTTTCATCCTAAGAACTGTAATAGTCTATCCTAATTTTCTAGAAAAAAAATTTTCACTGCCTGTGTTGTACCTTCATCCCAAATACAGTGAGGAATTCAAATGTGCTGCAGGCAGTTTCCATTTACCATGGTCTTTGGAGCAGACGGTATTGATGTTACTGACCATTTTTCTCCTTAATAAGAAAAACATTCAAATGCTACTAATATTGCTGCCTTGGCAAACGACATTTTATAGATGGGACTTGCCCTGTACATGACACATAGAACATCAATCAAGGCTGAATTTTATTTCAATTTATTATGGTTGCTGTCTAAATGAAAAAATGCTTATATCGTTAAAATGTCTTACAATATAAATGTGCAAATGATGTAATCACCCATTTTGTGAGAAAATTCTGATTTTGATTAAAAATATCTACAGCTGAAGCTCTAAACATTTAATAAATGCGATAACAAAAAAACACAAGCACATTAAGAAACCACAGTAATTGCTATCTGGTGTAATATCATGGGTTTGTGCTTGATAGCTTTTATCTTTAGAAGATGAGTTTATAAGGTATTCTTTTAAAATGCTAAGAACTGCCTTTTTGTTCAAATCATCCAGAATAAATTACTTCAATCTTGACTTCATTCAAGACCTCACATGGGTGGTTTTTTCAAGTTATCATTTATCACAGTTCTTTGCTATAGCCAGCTGTCTCCAGAATCAAGCTGGTGGCCTGCAAAAGCTGTACAAGCTTTCCCAGCTAAGCAACTCTGGAACACTGCACAGTTACCAAGGTGTAGAAAGCAGCACCGTATCAGAAAGTAGACAATACTCAATTTTGTAACTGGTAAGAGTGCACAAACCTGTCCCAAGTGTAGAGACAGAATTTCACGCCTGGCAGAGTCCCACTGGCACGTGCTGCATCCTGCGTCCCCAGGAGCCGGCTGTGATGATGGCTCTCCTAACTGCTGCCTCCAGCATGGCACTAAGCAATGCACAGAAGGTAATGGCCGTGCTGTGGTGAGCACTATAGATGATCAGGTCAACCCAATGGTATTGAAAATTCATTAAACTTTTATATTCTCTCTATATCACTAGCTTATGGTTATTATATAAATATAATATTCCCCCCTTATAAACAGCCAGCTTTTTCCTGCTGCATTTATTTGGCAAAGCTCAAAAGTCCAGAGCTTAAAGATACTGCAATGCATCAGTGGATGATAAATGGTTACAGGAGTTCATAAGCATACAGTATACCCAAAACAAAATCCAAACAGTTTCTACTAGAAAATGAGAGTTTATCGTGGATCTGCAGGTAACTGGTTCTCCCCCTTTCCTCCACTTTTGTAAGAACCCACTGTGAATACTGCATCCAGCTCCAGGGCTCCAAAGAGAAGAAGGATGATCAGAGGACTGGAGTACCTCTCCTGTAATGACAGGTTGAGAGAGTTGAGGTTGTTCAGCCAGGAGAAGAGCAGGCTCCAGGGACACCTTAAAGCAGCCTTCCAGTATCTAAAGGGGGCTACAACAGAGTGGTAGAGGGATTTTTTACAAGAACATGCAGTGACAGGACAAGGGGTGACAACTTTAAACTGAAAGAGGGAAGGTTTAGATCAGATATTAGGAAGAAATTCTTTACTGTGACAGTAACAAGGCACTGGACCAGGTTGCCCAGAGAGGTTGTGGATCTCTGGATGTGCTCAAGGTCAGATGTGATAGGGCTTTGATAAACCTGGTGTAGTGGAAGGTGTCCCTGCCCATGAGAGGGGGTTGGGACTAGGTGATCTTTAAGGTCCCTTCCCATCCAAACAGTTGTGGGATTCCGTGTTTTCCTCACTTGAACAAAAGTATTTGAAACAGAGTTTGGATCCAACAAGCAAAAGAATGAACTGCAAAAATGGTCTCAGCATGACAAGATATGATGAAAATATGAGCAGTAGGGTAGTATAGCTACACACTGCACAGCTTAGTGCTGCAGTTTGTCAGGTAAACACTGCTTATGCAAAGTCCCAGCATCTTTCATGAGAGTGAAACCTCTTGAAGGCTTTTGCCTTGCATGGCATTTTATCATATGATAATGATATTATCATATCATTACTGAGGAGTAATTTCAATTTGGCTTTAAAAGAGAAAAAAGATAAATAACTGCAAATGAAGGAAGTGTATGAAAGCTACATGACAGGTAAATGGGACTTTTATAAGGTTGCACATCGTAAAGTTTGCCTGAATGTGTTGAAAGAAGAGTCAGTGTCCTGGTTAAATCACATCCTGCTGTATCTGTCCAACTGTACAGCTAAAATACTCATATTAATTCCATTAAACAATTAGAGAATTAAATTCAAAATATTATTACAAGTATGTTGGCTTAGGATGGTCTTTTTTTCAGATTTAACAACGATACAATACTCTCAGCTTCAAAGGCTGAAGAATTTTTTTTGTGGCTATTCACACCCTGGAGGCTACAGAGCTGTTGTCCTATGGAAATCCTACAAAATCTAAACGGTACATTTCTGACAGACATTTTAGAAGAGAAGGAAGGATATTTTGGTAGTTATGGAGCTGGCCTGACATTTAGAGGATCCTAATTTAATTTCCCTGTCTGCCAGACTTCCCTTCATAATTCCAGGCAAAGTAAATCACTTTCCTTTCCCTAGTTTCTCATCCTTAAAGTAGGGGAGACCATTTAAATACCTGAGTTGTACAAGTTTTAAAAGAGAAGAAAATAACCTTTTCTTCTGTCTTTTTATTTTTTCCTCAGGTGGAAATTCACCTAAAACTACATCTTCCACAGGTCTTGATTGTATTCTGCTTCATTCTTGAAATCAACAAAACATACTATTTATAGGTAACATATCTTATATGTTGAAGGTCTTTATGTCATTGGAGAGCCTTCTATTTTAAAAATCCTTCTCTGTGATAAGACAAGATATAGAAGACTGAACATAGGGGGAGCTAATAAACAAAATTCATTCATGGGTCATTACTTCAAATAACTTTGTTATATAAATAGTCTACTCATCTAATAATGGCCTCAATTAACATTTAATTATCACACAACACATTTATAATGTACTGAAGGCATTAAAAGTTCTGCATGAACATCACTATTGTTGCCTTGCTAGAAGTGCCACAATTTACAAGAGAAGTACAGACATTTTCCACTTGATTAAAAAATTTCTGGTCTTTTCCCACCCTCCTTTTCTATTAGGTTTCCTTGTCCTAGAAGGATTGAAAAAAAAGATACTCTATTATATGTGGAAGCTCCCAACCTGCTGGCTGATGATGACCATCAGCCTTGCTTTTGAAATCCATAAGCACACTAGTGCAACACTAATACAGAGGGGAAAGAGGTCTCTGTGATTTTGCTGAGAAAGCAAGTGATGAGAATTCACTGTTTAAGTGCATATATGTCAATCCTTTTTACAAGGTAGAACAAAAGTTTTCCCAAGATAACCCTGCTCTCATTGGCTGTGATAGTTGGAACTTGGTAGATCAAAATGCCGTGTGAAAGCCCTACCCTCACTCCTCTATCTTACTGTTTTCCAAGCTAATACATTCTTTTCTGGCACAGAAAATTCAGAAGTTAGCTGTGAAAGAGTATCTTTCTGATGTGGTTGCTTTTATCCTACAAGACAGTAACTGAGTATTGATGACACAATAACTCCCTCAACTACTGGAACACCAACAAAACACATTCTAACAAGGACTTCCACATTCATGGTGTCATTGTAGCAACTGACTTGAGTACACACAGGTAATTTTTTGTCCCATGGCTTTGACCTGAATCCTAATGAAATTAACTGCTAGAAGAAAACAAGCCAACACAAACCACCAGTGTTCAGGGCATGCTGCAAAACCTGCTGAAAAAGTCAACAGATGCTTCGTCTAGAAGACAGAAAGGAGGAAGGCCAGAAAGCTCCTGGAAATCTAAACTGGACCTCACTGTGCTTTAATAATGAAGTGATGGAATAAATTAATTAAAAAAAAAAAAAAAAAAAAAAAAAAAAAAAAAAAAAAAAAAAAAAAAAAAAAAAAAAAAAAAAAAAAAAAAAAAAAAAAAAAAAAAAAAAAAAAAAAAAAAAAAAAAAAAAAAAAAAAAAAAAGGAGTTAACATAAGACAGAGATCTAAATATAAAATCCTGCCAACACCCATTATCCTCAAAACATATTTTAGGTCATGATAGGACTTCTGCCTGTGGGTTCATCTAAGGCACGAAAAGAAAATAATTCAAGAAAAATGAAATATACAAAAAATAAAGCTGCTGCTCAGCTATTATTTTCCTCACAAGTATTGCCTTATTTTAAATTTACTGTTAATACACTATGCTAGCAGTTGTCCTTAATAAGCACTGCATACCTCCAAGAAAACTGCATACACTGACAAAGATGCTTCTAGTTTTGCACAACACATGGCTTTTTTACACGGTATGTTCTCACTTGAAAACTACTCCCTCACAAAATGAAAATTCAGCAGAATCTCTAATAGCTTTCATATTTCAGTCTAATAGGTAGCATGGCATTGCACTGCCACCCACCTTTGCTACAATATTGCACAGCACATTTAACAGACATTTGCTTCCTTCACTCAGTCCTTTTGCGCAGCTTCTGCAGGACCTTAGTATTAGCATTTAACAGAGTCTAT